TTGACAACCCTAGGTTGCGTTCTGCTATAACATTGCATTATGCTCCAAATCTTTAATTAGCTATAATAAACCTAATTTGTGAGTAATAAAATTCTAGTATGTGCCTATATTGTCAACGAATTAAAATCTATTTGACATGCAGTAGAAGACATAAATTCAACCAAAAAAGATATACAGGAGAGTTTAATATCATGGCATCGTCTACGACAATCATACCACAATTCTATTATATTGTACATTGACAATGTTGATAAAGAGCATAGTATATGTTCTAATAAAATGTAAACAAAACTTGCGTTTATTTAAATATAATTATCATAAAAATAAGAAAATTAAAGCTCTTTGGTATCCATATTCGCTACTGGCTTTTTGTTGTCTAGTAATCAAGTTACCTAGTTTTACTTTCAAACAGTGTTTGAAACAACAACAACAACCTGGAACGCTTAAGGTTACAGCAAATTAAATGCACCGGAAACCTCACCCATTGTATATGCCATTTAACAACACAAACCCATGTTGTCTGCGAGACTGCGACCATATGAAAGGTTCTGAACGTATCGAAACGTGACTTGTACTGCTCCGACTGAGAAGAAGCGATCGAATAGAAGAAGAGGATGAAAATGAAAGAAGGAGTTTGTTGTCAGAGAGAAACATGTATCTATATATATCTACGTACAGAGGTTGTATTATGTTACTTGATAAGGTCGCGTGTTGTCTGATGACAACAGTTTTTTGCTTTCGTATTGATGCGTCCCTTCGACTTGACTCTCCCCAACGATTGATTTTGATGGATCAAAGCAGAGTTTTCTTCCTTGTCTTCTTCTATGATCTTCTCTGCATGAACTATCCAATCATACGTGCTGCCTCTGGTACCCGTTTTTGTATGAATTATATTTTTAGTATCTGACTATTTGCACGCATGCGTACGTTGAATAATAATGGAATTGCTCATATATGCTTCAGTTTTTGGTATAGGTAAAGGAACAGTCACCTTGATGATTTTGTTTGTCCATAGGATTAATGTCTCCTGGTATTTGCATTTGCAATTATGTGAATGCAAATGACTGATTCATAAACATCATGAGTATTTTATTATCTAATTTTTTTCATAGGGTCAAGAATCTAAGATATGTGAAACTAATCATTACTTGCATCTCGGGACATCCTAATCAACTGGGGCCAAGTAAAATTCTAATTAACCGGAGCAAAGCTCTCATGAAATAGTATTTTTCAAACGTGTTGGCAAAAAAGTAATAGAATTTTTTTGAAGATATTTGATTTTTGTGAAGGCTGAATAATAAATACGGTAATGAATAAAAGATTTGATGAATACAAGGGTTAATTAGGTTGATTGGAAAAGATTCCGCATTCTCTAAACAACTTTTAAGAATTTAAATCTTGCTGATTAAGGAAAAAACTATGCTTGGAGTTATTTTTCATTTGTGGCCAACAAGAAAAGTGAATGCAAACCATATTGGATACCAAAAGTTATACGAAAATAACAATTTTGTATTAAATAAAACTATGATAAACAATGTTGTAAATTTGATTCATTATACCTATATATTTATAAATTTAAAACAAGAAAATTCGACACAAAGGAATCACATATGCTAATCTAAAAAGGAATTATATTCATTAAAAGTAACATAGTTATGATTAAAAATGCATGGTTTAATTTTAAACGCTTCGTCGCTTTGACACAGTCCGAATCCCAAATCAGAATTCAGAGATGAGATATGAGAGGAGAGGCCCATTTGAATCTCCGAGAAAATGTGGAAACAAACAAGCAAAATTTGGTTAGCCCCCAATTTCCCCTCTAGCCTTTAGCACAAAAGGGAGAAAAACAAGCGTGTATGGGAAATGGGGGCGTACAGAGCGGAAGACGATTATGATTATCTGTTCAAGGTTGTGTTGATCGGTGACTCCGGCGTCGGCAAATCCAACCTTCTCTCCAGGTTCACCAAGAATGAGTTCAGTCGCGAATCCAAGTCCACCATTGGCGTCGAGTTCGCCACCCGAAGCATTAGCGTGGACGATAAGGTTGTTAAAGCCCAGATTTGGGACACCGCCGGTCAAGAAAGGTTCGTCCAATTATTAAGACATCAACTCATCGGACGATTTTACTTTTGCATTCGATAATGAAATGCTGCCTTGAGAGGCTTTTCTGTTTCTATCTTCTATGTTGCCTGGCGCTGAAGCGATCGATTTGAATTGGGCGTACGTTGATATGATGCCAAGATTGATTGCTTTTAGCACATTAAATCTGTCACCATTATGATCTTGTAGACTTTTCTGGTATAATGAAAGAAACTGATTAAGACGTTAACTGGTGTATGATCTGTACTTTCAAGGTTTGCGATATCTGAAGTTTCTTATAATAAATCTTTGTGAGATAAACTTATCGAGTAACATGATTTGAATCTGCATGATGACTACGTTATTGATTTTTGGGTCATATATGTTTCTAAGTTTAGTTTTTCATGAAATGAAGGTACCGAGCAATCACGAGTGCATATTACCGTGGAGCCGTTGGAGCTTTACTAGTGTACGACGTTACACGCCACGTAACATTCGAGAACGTGGAGAGATGGCTGAAGGAGCTAAGAGGTCACACAGATGCCAACATTGTGGTAATGCTTGTGGGCAACAAGGCAGACCTCCGCCACTTGAGGGCGGTTTCCGTTGATGACGCCACTGCCTTCGCGGAGCAAGAGAACACATTCTTCATGGAAACATCAGCACTGGAGTCCATGAATGTGGAGAATGCCTTCACAGAAGTTCTGTCTCAGATATATCGTGTGGTGAGCAAGAAGGCACTGGACATCGGGGATGATCCCTCGGCTTTGCCCAAGGGACAGACCATTAACGTCGGCTCTCGTGATGATGTATCAGCTATGAAGAATGCTGGATGCTGCTCTTCTTGACGAGTATACGCTCTTATATAATATAACCTATATATATCTTCATCCATCTTTTTTGTCTGTTGTTTATATCCATGTATAGATTTCATTGGATTGTCTAGAGAGGTTCAAACTGTGAGCTTTGAGCTTTTGGTTTGTTCTTTGTAGAGAAATCTTTTCCCTATTATATTCATTTTTGTGATTGCACATTCCTTTCATCTCTTGTTTTTCTGTGAGAGGTGCAGATGGTGTTTTTACAATTCTTTCCCTTCAAGTTTTTACTATATTTTAATCAATATCAATATTTATTTGTAAAAGCTATCCTGAACTGCAATATTCAAAGTGGCAGTTTGGCATCAATTATTTTGGACTTATAAGTAGCTTATAAGCACTATAAGACATGATAATGCTGTTTGGGTGCGTTTTTCTGTAATCGGATTTTTGTATGAAAAGCTACAATAAGTTATAAACTAAAATTAATAGTTTATGACTTATAGCTTTTAAAACATGAAGAGAGTAAAAGTTAAGAAATTTATTATCTCCTTTGGTTCTTATTATAAACCTCAAATAACTAATTTGTAGATAACAAAAAATCAGTTAAAATTAGTTGAAAGTAATAAATAAGTTAGAAATATACTTTTATTTTTTATGTTTCACTTTATATTTAAAATATCTTTTATGATTTCTCTAAAATTTTAAAATGTAATTTACTCATTAAATTTGACTTCTTCATATTAAATTATTTTAATTTCATTGTATTATGTGAAATCATTTTTTTATTCATGTTTCATTATTTATTAAAACTCATACCCATTTTGGTCATTTTACAACCAAACTTTTTTTTACTCAACCATAATCTAAATAACCTTTTTACTAATCTCGCTTTTACAAACTAGTTTTTCTGAACTCCAATCCAAATACAATTCAACTTATCTAATTTAATTTTTATCCAACTTGAAAACTACTTTATCAGTAAGCTACTTTTCTAATTACTGATCCAAACGGACCCAAAATCAGTCACTTGCGTGGTTTTTTCCTTAAAACGTGCCCATTTTTACTATATTTTAATCAATATCAATATTTTTCGCAATTATTAGATATTAGATGGCCCACTTTTAGTTAGAATTTATTCCCGATAATCAATACATCAATCAATAAACACAAAAAAATTGTGTTTCTCCCGGATATAATTTTGTGAGAAAATTTTCCCTCGAAATCTGGAGTAACATTAGCGAGAAAAGTTGATTTCTTTCGAAATACTTGTTCGTGAGAGAAGCTTTGCAGATTAGCTGTTATCCAAAATAATTTCTCATGGATTTTTATCTCCGCGGAATGAAAAGATTCTCACAAATTAGTGATTCGTGAAAATTTCTCATTTTTATCCCAAGAAAAATATTCCTCGCGGTTATGGTTGATGATTGATGAATGCTTCACTACCATGTGCATTAAAATTTTAATTGAATATTTTTCATTTATGCTTTACAATTTTTTTAACATTGTAAGGCTTTGATTAAGATTACTCTAAAATTTTAACTTTATCCACTTAATCTTGTCAACGTGTAGTCTCAGAACAAGGCTCAAATATTTAAGCTGTAAATAAAATAGATCTTTGAAAAAAAATAAAATTAATCATATTGTTATTCTCAAGTTTAGTTATATAAGTTACTGCAGGATACTAATTAGATACTATTCAAAAAATTACACGTACAAACACTGACTGACACCAATAAATTAATTTTGTTAAATTTACAAATAATACAGACAATCCATATTTTCTGAGATTTCTATTGACGTTGGCGAACCTTTCAAAATAAAAATAAAGTGATTAATGAATATTGGTGTTGTTGGGGTGCGGGGGAGGTATCCAGCAATATTGCTATGGGACTTTTGCTTCAATTAATTACAAAAGTCATTATTTGTTTTGAAAAATATTTCTTTGACAAGTTTTCTTGAAAAATTGCATCTGGGCTCGTACTACATACTTGACAGGTCATATATTTCTTGACAAACTAGGCATTAAAAAAAACACTTGACCCACAAACTATGTGACATTCATGACCTAACAAAGAAGGAAAACATTTTCAGTAGCTCACATATTCACACACCAGTGCTCAGCGATTGCACCACAATTGCAAAAACATCACCGAAAAAAAAAAAGGCAAAAATATCACTGAGGTTCTACCTTTGTTGAAGGAAAGGCTCCACTATAGCTAAAGCCTTCATCATGGGCATAAGGACGGCGTAACTTGCCGCCATTTGCATCCATATCAATTTCTTCTGTTGTTGGATCTGATTCAGAAGCAGGGTTCAATCCAGCGAGCTCCATTATATTCTCAATTTCCTTTACCACCTCAGCCATTGATGGCCTCTCAGCTGCATATTCTTTGACGCACCTCATTGCCAGCTCCACAAACTTGTCCAAACCACGTGGAGTTACTTTGTTGATGAATGGATCTATGATGGAATGGAGGTTGAATAGTTCTTTTGTTGTATCCATTACGTTCTGTACCTCTCTCACAATATATTTCCCTTTCTCTATTGGCCTTCTTGCTGTCACTAGTTCCAGCATCAGCACTCCAAAGCTATATACATCACTTTTTTCAGTCAACTGTTGGGTCATGTAATACTCAGGATCCAAGTAACCCTACAGACAAAATTGTTAGGGGGCACAAAAGGGATGAGTTTTCATTCATTTGAAATTCAATTATATATTTCAGAACGAAATTTGGTGTCTTCTTCTTCCTGGGTTAAAATGACAGCGCAGAAATTTGAACCTAAGACATACGAACCATTGTCCCTTTGACTTGAGTAGTGATATGCCCCCTTTCACTATCAACAAGAAGCTTGGAGAGTCCGAAATCTGCGACTTTTGCGTTAAGGTGCTCATCAAGCAGAATATTGCTTGATTTTATGTCCCTGTGTATGATTGGTGGGTTGGCAAGTTCATGAAGATAGGCCAGACCCCTGGCTGCGCCCAGGGCTACTTTAAGCCTTCTCATCCAATCCATTCTGATCCCAGACTTTCCTACATAGACCAAGTCGCATAAAATATTAAGAAATGCATTTCCCAGACTGAAGAACTGTCTTATGGCAGTTTTTGATGTATTAGTCTTCAAACTAATTCTCATACATTCGGGCAAAAGAAAGACAGAGCTCCAAAAAGATTTTTATACAGGGATTATCAACCATTCTGTTTTCTGACAAATGCATGTGAGTTGCATTAGAACACTCCATTCCTTTCTTAAATCAATACCATGGAGGAATATACAGGAACTTGCTAATTTCAAGTTTTAAATAAACTAGTCAGGCAAGCGGTAAAACTTGTAATAATATCAAGTTCTCCAAATTTATGCAGCGTATAAAAACAAGGGTACTAACATGTCCATTTTGTGGGCATTCAGCATTGGTAAATATATATCAGGTATATGATCCAAAAAATTGACAACTGAGTGATGAACCACATATGTGTTGGAACTATCAACATAATTTCAAAAGCAAATGGGCAGATTAGCAGCCTATTTGGCAATGATCAAAAGAAAAGAGGTGGGATGTGCTTCTTGAACAAGCTTTTGCCCTTGTTCTGCCCCATTTCTTTCTACATTCTTCTCTAGGACAAAACATGATATCATTCATAAGGAGAGAAGGGGCTGGAATTTAGGAATACCTGAAAGACTGTCCATTAAAGTACCATTTGGGATATACTCATACACCAGCATTTGTTCACCATTCTCAAAACAGAAACCCGCAAGACCGACAAGATTCTTATGATGGACCCTTGATAGAAGTTCAATCTCAGTTTTAAACTCTACAGCACCCTGCATGGATTCTTCTGCAGCCCGTTTGATGGCAACTAGTTCTCCCGTGGGAAGAACAGCTCGGTAAACCTTTATAAATGAGGATTTATTAGCTATTACAGAACATTAAACAAAAAAATAATTTTGGAAAATAAAACAATGTCTCTAAAGCTGGTGTCAGAAGAAAAATTCTCAAGGGTAATCCATAGAGAGTTCAAGTCTCCTGTCGTCCGATCATCTCAAGATTGTGTAATCATCTCAAAACTTACAAAAAATTTTCTTAACCAAACATGAATCTTAAGGCATGATCAGGTGACTAGGAGTGAGAGCCAGAGATTTTCCAAGCAATGCTCAATTGCTAAAAGCAAACAACAAAACAGAAGATACTGGGGAGATTTTGAGGGATTCTGGTCTTCCCAAAAATGTAAAATGAAAAGGATAGCCATGGGATAGTATTATTATGAACCTTTCCGTAGCCCCCAGATCCAACTGTGTTGTCTTCAGAGAAGTTGTTGGTGTATTTCTTCAGCTCTTCTAAAGAAAACCATCGTGCTCCTTTTAACTGAGGAGCCATGCCGTTGTTCTTATTCAGTTTCCAGTTTGCTGCATTAGCTTGGCATGTGATCAACAGAAGACTGATAGAAAAATTCTTTACGATGGACAAATATAAGCAAAATCTGCATCAAACATATCTTACCAAAAGGGTTCAGCTCAGCGGACCCTTTTGCTCTTTTCTTTTGACGTACAACATATATCCCTGCAAGGAGTGCTACTGCCAGAAAGACCACAACAGCAACTACTACGCCAACTATAATCCCTATATGGGACGACTTCTTTGATTCATTTCCTAAATGACGTGAGAGAGAAGAATGAGCATTACAGAGTTTAGCCTTTTTCATGCATAGAGAGACACTAATTACCTGCATAGTACCCATAGTCATCAGCAATGAAGAAGTAAGGAAGGAAAAATTTTGGGGCCTTAAGAAGCTGGCTGCTAATCACAAAAGCGATATTTGAAACTCCAGTTCTATTGAAACTATCACTTGAAGACGGAAATACTTTCAGGGACACTTCAAAATAATCAGTAGATGCATTCCTGAACGGATTACTTAGAGAAACAGAATCCACCGGAAGATTTTGTGATTGAAAAGCAGTCATCAGAGACAGCTCGAGTTCCTTATAATAACTTCCATTACCAAGGTCTGAGAAACTAAGAGCTCTGGCATACAGAGTTCCACTGTACGGATGTGAACATTTGCAGTTAGGACTGGAAATCTGACCAGAACTGCAAGGAGGAGGTGAGCAATTATTTGGCAGCGTTGAATATATGGAATTGGATTGGGATTCTTGGCAGTAACGTTCAGTAGAAGCTTCTGCTTCAAGGCAAATCCGGTTGCGAGCTAGTCTGCAAAATTTTTAGATAACTGCCTCAGAGGAGAAAAACCATAAACCAGCGGTTTGGGTTAAGCTGGGTGAAGTTGACATGAAATCATAAGTTAAAATTAAAAAAGAATAGGGGATAGGATTGAGCCGTGAAACTTACACAACTGAAACTTTATAGTTCATGTTTCTCTGCGTGAAATCAGTGATTGTATTATTCTCCAAATCAATAAGTTTTAAGCGGTTGTTATCGGCATTGCCAATATCTAAGGTGCCACTGAGCTGGTTGCTCTTCAACACCCTGTTCCCAAAATTCAACACACCATCTTATAGCCATCATCAGTACATATGTTCAAGAAGTAATTGGATAAATGTGGGCATATTTTTGTCATTTTGCACATCCATTTCTTATTTAATGAGATAGTACTACTCACACAGTCTCTAAACTGGGCTGGTTAAATAAGGAGACAGGTATCTGCCCTCCAAGGTTGGTGTTCTCCAACTTTCTGACATAAGTAAGCTTTATCAATATTCAATACTTGAGACAATCTTGTGTCTTGAAAGATATCCATGCTCACAGACAGACTTATTCAAACAGAACAGATAAAGGAAAAGAATGAAAAGCATCGGAGGGAGGGAAATGATAGAGATGGCGTACAATGTTGTCATCAACGGCAAACTTGAAGCCCATGAAGGAATATCGGAAGAATCGAAAGTATTGTTGCTCAGATCTCTGCCGACAATTTTATGGAAATATGAAAACACAAGAACTCTGAATAGATATTCGAGCATATACGTATATGCAAATCCTGGACTTCTGAACAAGATGGAGGTAAAAGTATTTGACAGTTACTTCTAAGCTAAATGAAACAAGTCTTATTAAATCCCCGCAATTTTAATGAATCTCACACACTACTGCTTTACTACTTACACATAGGTTAGAAGATTCATTCCGGTAAGATCTGGCAGTGGACCTCTCAACCTATTATTTGATAAATACCTGAAAATATAGAGTCAATGTTTCCCTCAGTCAAATGATCTTTAAATAGAAAGACCAGCTTACTGATGGGCATCAATTCGAGTTTTGCATGTTTAGTTGGTCCTCTTACAGATCACTAAGATTTCTGAGATTGCTGATATTCGACGGTACACTTCCACTTAGTTGGTTCCTATCAAAACGGCTGTTGAAAAGGGGGAAAATATTAATTACAGTAAAACATCAAAGTATTTCAGGAACATTAATGTTGTGAAATGATGATTTCACTTGTGGTAAGATCCTTACACTGCCTCCAATGAGTTCACCACCCCAATGGTACTAGGCATACCGCCACTTAATTGATTGCTGTCAAAAAGCCTGGCCAAAATAACATAGGTGAGGATGGAAAGTCAGGTCAACATGTCTGCTGATCTCAACATATGAGTAAAAACCGAAACATACAAAACTATTTAGTGAGAGGTTCCATGCGGAGAAAAGAAGATGCTGTAAAGTTCTCATTGATCTTACACATGGACCAGACTCATATCTGAATGAAAAAGTTGAGCTGGGATTCCACCTGAGAGCCTGTTGTTTCCCATGTGACTGCAAAAGGTGGACATAATCTTAGATCCTTTACACTGAGCCAGGAATTATCCATTCAAGCCAATACAAGATATTATCAACAAAAATTGAGGATTAGAGTTGCCATACAAGTGCTTTGCCTTAAGCAGCTTCTCAAGTCCAAGTACTCCTTGCCCAGAGATTGGGATAGCTCCTTCAAGGTGGTTATCAGAAAGGTCTAGCCAATTAATATTGGATAGATTGCCAATGGTAGGTGGAATGTTTCCATTGAACTGGTTGGAGTTCAGAGCTCTGCATGGAAAGCAATAAGATGATAGGTCATACATAATTTACCAATGTGGTGTTAGACCAGAGCAGAAACCGAGATAAGCCAACATAGATATTTTCTTTGAAACATCATATTTTGGTATATTTACTTTAACTTGGGATCTAAGACAGTTCTTATTTGTGTAGTCATTCTCGGATATAGCAACAGAATTGTTAAAGATGAAAATCCTTACAGAAAATTCAGCTGCTGCAAAGATCCTATTGAATCGGGAATACTGCCAAAGAAACTACAACCAACCAGTATACTGGAAAACAATGAGAAACGCAATAGATCAGTTCAGGAAAAAATTTTGTGAGGGAAAAGTAAAGATGAAAATGACAAAAATTTTTAATGAGCAGGAACTCAACAGAAGATTCAGTGTTTATTACAGTTATTTTTACTGTCGGGTACTAGTTGACTTCCTTACAGGGTTTTTAATTTTCTCAAATTTCCAATCTCTTTCGGAATTGTTCCTGTCAGGCCCTTGTTGTAAGAGAGATCCCTATATGAATAAAAGATGTGAGCATTCATAAGCCAAAAAAAAAAAAAGGATGAACGGGCAAATAGTAGTTTAAGTACTTAATCAAATTAGCTGTGTTTAAGTCACTTTGAGAGTAGAAAAAGTTCAAATAGAAAACTCACAATGTGTCTAACTCAGATAATAACTGGATATCTGAAGACAGCTTGCCGACCAAATTCATGCTTGCTAATATTCTAAGGAAAAAAAAAAGTCAAGACAGAAAAAGAAATAAAAAAATTAAAATTATATTGAAGGAGCCAAAGAACTGACATTGAGGTCACTCTTAAATTGGTGCATCGAATTCCTTCCCAGCCACTGCCACAAGGATCTGAACCCACCCAGCTTGGTGGTTTGTTCTGCCAAGATTCTGTGAGAGATTGTAGGGAAACAACTGCAGTGGTGCAATATGCATAAAATATTGTTAACAAATGCTAAACTCTCTAATATATCTTCGTAATACCAAATGAACACCTACATCTTCTGAGAGTTAAGCTTTCAAGATCACGTCAAAAATGAATGAATAACAAAAGGAAGTCCTATTACAAGAGATGCTCTGTCCTTTTTTTCTCCCAAGCCTTTTTTATTCACTTTAACATGCAAGTTCAAGTCATTAGTCAAGCTTTCGCAAAGTGTTTCCAGTTCATATTGTAGTCAGTCACTCAACAGAAAGAAAATGCTATGGCCAAACAACTTAAATTACGCGATTCAACAATTTAATAGTCAAAACTTTGGAAAGTTATTCTATGAATATGAACATCAGCAAAGGAAGAGCTAGTAATACAATATTATAAACGGCTTCAATAAGAGAGTTCCTAAGTAGTTTTGCACATTAGAATTGAAGGTGCAGAGCTCAACTGTCAAATCCAGATTAGCAAATTAGATTTTGTCTAAGGATATTGATGGTAGAAATTTCCAGGCACAAGAACTTTCATAACTTGAATGCATAAACATAGATTTCGGCACTCCTTATGTGGAAATGAAGACAACAGAAACAGAAACAAATTTTAGTTACTTGTAGTTTCTTTTCTCTTAAAATAAAAACCTGAAGCCATAACTTCCCCGAAAGGTTGCCCAAAATAGACTAACAGACGTTAGTCATGTCCTTCTCGCCCTAAGAGCACCAAAATGTGATCTAAAAACTAATGACGAAATGGCCTTATTCATTTGCATGAATGTGAAAAGAGACAAGAAATAGCTGTGAAAAATATAAATCAAAAGCCAAAGAAAGTGTAAAGCAGTTGAAAATATCCCAAAGTTTGATTGAACTTACAATCCTCATAGGAGCTCTGTGCCGATACCAGCAGAGATTGGCATAGAAGCAGTAGCAGAAACACTTTAAATACTTGTTCCATTTCTCAAAGATCCGAAATCTGTTCAGAACTTTCAGTTCAAAGTTAATACCATGGAATAGCCAAAACTGAAAAAGAGCACCATCTATTTACGTGGGAAACAAAGCTTGTGGCGCAACCAAATTGAATTCACAGTAGACCCCTGTTCAAGACGGCTAAATAGTACATTTGATCACATCAATAGCTTTAGCATGCCAATTCCGGTCTCTAACATGTATAAACAGTTCTAATCCAGAACACGGGAAGTATAAAGATTCTTGACTGAATCCTTCTCATATTTACAAAAGAAGAAAGCTCAACTTTAACATGCACCAATTCTAAAACAAGGAAGGAAGATAATACAACCACATTTTAAGAGTAAATTGCAATCTGAATAGTGTTTTAAATTTTGTTGAGGAAAAATAATTGAGAACTAGATCATCATATACAATGAGACATTTGGCCACTTTGTTTGCCGTCCGAAGCGATTAAAATAATCCAATAAACGTAATATACTGCCAAGAATTCAGTCACTTTTATTTCTCTGTCAACAGGTCAGAGCTAGAATGAACCCTCTAATTTGCATAAACTATGGTCTGAGTTCTCCTATGCATCGAATATTACATGGTACAGACAAAAAATGGCCATTTAAAAGATTTCAGAATTCTCAGGAAACTGCCTCGTGGTCGGGACAGGCTTGGAGCAGCCTGTGTTTTTTTGTACGTAAGCGCGTTGAAGCAGAAGCCAGCCGGAGCTGGTGTGCCGGAGGCATATAGTATCATGGTTTCGTAGCAGACAAAAACACAGAAATAAAAATTATGGAAAATGAAACAGACTCCTCTTCTTCTTCCTCCTCCCGTTCTGCATCCAATTTTAGAAATGAGAACAAGTCATGATTGACTAGCAGTCTGTTTGATTTTCATGGCTGAACCCTGAAGAGTAAGGCGGCAGCATGTTGCTTGCGTAAGCCCAAATGTGAAAGAGCCTTTAGTTTAATCTTGATGGTGATAGCTTCTCGTATGCTCCCAAGATACTACTTCCCATTGCATGAGGAAACAACTTCTTGTTGTATCTTTAAGACTATCTGGGCTTTTAATTTTTAATCAAAATCATGAGCTTTCATCAGTTAATAACTCATTTACACCCAAAATTCCTCCTAATTCGTTTGATAACTGCTAATAACGATGACACATAATTTGGATTAAACTAATTTTCATTTAAACTGAGCCAAACCTGAACCTCAATGTATAAAACTATAAATCCAAATTAGACTTTTATTTTTGTATTGCATGGATTAAAAGTTAAGTATTCTTAGTTTGGAAGTAGTACTGGATGTTGGTATGTATAGTTTTTGGAAGACAGGCTACTCCGCTGCGTAACCCGTCAAAACAGTGGTCTCTTTGAAGAATGTTATCTCATTTCACCAATTCGCATGCTTTGAAAACTACCACTTGATTGTTCACCTGAAATAAATATAAATCAGCAAGTTTATGACAAAGCATGTGACAAAAATTCGGATAAGAGATTTCCCGCCATGGAAAATCCTTATCAAAACCAATAACGCTGCATTTTAAAAAAACTGAATTTAAACGCAGCACCATACAATAATGAGCAACAAAGTCAACACGGTTCTTTCTTTCCTGCAAGATTTGCTCTAATCACTACCTTAAAATACTGACACGGAAAAGGGACAAATTGTTGTTTTATTTATGGATGTTTGTTGAGGGGGTCTTTATGAGCCGCTAGTCTTTTATTTAAGCAAGGACAAACATGTAGTCCTATGATTTTGAGGGAACAAGGTAACTTCCCAACAGTTTCCTTGGGCAGTGCAAGCGAGCTTTTTTTTTTTTTTTTTTTACCTCAATCAAATTACTTAGCATCAAAAAAATCATGTTGAACTCTGACTATTGTGATTCTAGTTAAATAAAGCCGCAATTCTCCTTACAATTTTTAATCATTTTAAGAACTTCTCTTCACAAATTTTTGAAACCATTATGTATTTAGGATTTGAATACAAGACTATTGACCATAATCTCCCAAGTGGTTGGCTAGGTCCTCCTGGCCATGGGCCAGTAAGTCCTTTTCTGTCAATTTGATTATAAAAATGGTTGAATATGAGCCAAATCATAATTTTAAAAATAATTTTACAGAATACAAAATAAATACTTCAGAAGAGTTTATTGCATCTATAGAACTGCAATGGGAATTAAGAAAGGGGGACATGGAAGAAAAGATTTTTTTAGGTAATATTTTTATGATTTTATTATCATTATTAAAAAACTGCATTTTTTTTAAAATTACATTCTTGTTTAGTTCATTTTATTTTTACCAGACTCTGGTTCATAGAGTGAGCTGCGTTTTGTTGGATTCTAGTGCCGGCTTCAAGTTTTGCTGCCGGCGGGATTTTATATCATGACACTGCATTTTGTCGCCGAAAACGAAAAAGTCTAGTGAGGCGACACCAAGGAGAGTAGGACCAATTAAAGAGAAAATTAAGCATACGTATTGACTATTGAATGGCTGGAAAAAACATCACAACGAATTAACGTAGCCATTTTATCACGCAACACAAAACAGTAGAGATGATTACATCGTCATCCATCTTCCTCCATGAAGGCCCCTTTTATTATTTTTTTTCAACATTGAATCATTTTCAGCCCACATAGGTTCAACACGGAGGGGGAAAGGTCATAGGCCCAATAAAAGCAGTGGAAAAAATGGTATATGGATCATCGAAAGGGCCTGGCCAAGGCGAAATACGCGTCAGGTTTTACGGACACCAGCAACTCTAAAACAATTATCTCACTTGGACGAGAAATCTTGAGACCAGGTTCAATAATACCTGCTTGTGAGAATTCAAAGGTCCAATTACGTCATTAATAGCAGCTTATGCTAAAGCAGAAGCAATTGATAAAAGCGATTAAAACCTACCTGGGGAAAGCTTTTTCCCTTGATAGAGTTCCTTTGCTAGAGGGTTGGCGGCCCAGAGGTTCACAGCCACCCTACTCAAGGGTTGAAAACCAATTATCTTCCCATCGCTAGAGAAAACCACCTGAAAATTTCAAACTCGTTGTGAACACTGGCTTCATATCATCTATTCTGATAAATTATTTCTTTGCATGATATAATCTTCCCTATCTGCATCCTAATTTTTCAAAAATACCTTGCTCCCATACCTGCAACATAGTTAATAGTGTATAAACTCCTCTTCACTTCCAAGTTGCAACAAAAAAGTGCATTTGCCAGTGCAAGAGCAAGACAAATAAAAACAGTTGCAAATCTGTAGTACCTGATAACTAGCAATGTCCTGTATAGCCACTTTTGCTGCATCTGCATCCATATTCTCTGAAGTAGAAAGAGCTGAAACAACTTCACCATCAGATATAGATGCCCCCAATGTTCTCATGTAAGCTGGCAGTTTTCCAGTCCAAACTCCAATGCCATCTTCTTTCATAATATCACCCGACCAGCCAAAAGCATCTTTGACTTTCATAATAGCTGAGACACAAAACTCTTCCAACTGTCCATATAAAAGGTTCGAACAAGAAAAACAACTACTCTTTAAACCAAAGTAAAAGGTATTGTAAACCATGGAATAATCAGTAAGCATATGCTATGAAGAAAAACAAGCGTTATCCCAAAAGATGGGATTGGCTATATGAATCGCAATAATGTCATTGTGATCAATTAACAACCAAATGTTATAAGAAACAAACGAATAAAAACACATGAAGTTTCCCCACAAGCAATTCATGAGGGGTGCTGCCCAAGTATATTTCATGGCACACGAATAGCGTCAAAAATAACGATGGCAGGGCACCTGCAGTGCTAAGATCAACACAGATTTTAACCTTATGGACTTGTCAGATTATTTCAACACTCTCCCACGGTTTGCATAAAGTATAATTTACAGTGCTTAACGAAAGCACAACACGATCTAGATTCAATCTTTTGAAGCTAAATCATCAAGATGGACTTCAAATATTCTAGCTGATAGCCATCTGGAAGCATAATGGAAAAAACAGCAAATCAGGTGCTACGTTACTAAGGAACTTTCTAGTTTCCAATTCTTTCAGTAAGCAAATTCTGCATATAAAAAATTTACCACATAATCATAAAAAAGGATAGATTGCTTACCTTATTTACATCCAAAGATTCATCTAATGTACTGTGGACTTCAGATGATGACAGAGATCTAAGTTCCCTGAGGCGTTTTCCTTCCTTGGGTAAATGAGGCAAATAAAGTCGGCCAAGAGCATTGATTGCTACAAGAAAGATGCCACTTGCAAGGGTAACTGACAACAGTCTTAATAGAGAGCTCCCCTGAAGGAAACAAAATTGATCATGTTATTAACATGGACTTCATTCAATACAGCATTGAAACAACAAAACTCTAAAGTTGTGTTCATTATTAATGAAATGGAGAGATTAGTAAGAATCAGTTAATTGCCCTGATATTCAGATAGCACATTATAATTCACTATAGCTAACCTACACTTACAGAATAAGACCAAGAAAAGGCATGGATGGCTACAGGCAAGAGAGAGAGAGAGAGAGTACTAGAAATAACTAAAAATACTTAAATCATAGACAAGGGTACTGGGAAACTGCTTAGGCCCTAAGCCAGAATGGGCCTCTTTCTACTATGTCTATGACCCCAGAAATTCAATTGTTCCTCTCTCTTGATTTGAAAAGCACAAGTGACAGAACTAGGAAGCATAATCATTCTTGCAAACGAGGGGAGATAGCTGAAAATTAATGATAAGTGATCAATGTCCTCCGACACATATTGACAAACAAAAATAAAATACTAAAAGAAAGTGCAAAATTTTCAAGTTCTAATTATGTTATTGCATCCAGATCACAAACAATGAGGAGGTTATTATATATAATTCTCGACCCAAAGAAGCACCTACTCCCCACTTGGTCACACCCCCACAAAAGCATTCCTTTTCCATTGCACAAAAAACAACATATGCCATATCCATTACAATCTTATTGTCATTACTTAACAGTGATTATAATTAATTTTTTATTCAGGAGATTTAAACTACAGAATCACTTTTTTCTTATTTCATTTTCCCTTCCGTTTCATTCTATTACACACACTAGATGGCCCCTTAATCTCTTAGTTTGATCTTTCTTTTGCAGTGAGAAGGTGAAATAACTGGTACCATAAATAATCTCATACAGCAAAAGATCAAAACATCAAATGCTAGTTTTTGCTAAGACTTAGAGAACAAACAACAAGCATTTCAATACCTTTTTATTTGACACTTCAGCAAATTTGGCAGCCATGCCACAAGATAATTGCTTATCACGAAGCGAGTAAGGATCCTCATAGTACATATCCAATGCTTCTGCCAATCCAATCTACAATTTTGTTAAACTATCTCAGAATGAGCATCAATAACATACAACATAGTAGAGGCAAGAATTTCAAATAGCCTATCAAAACACTAAGAATATAAACATACAGTTGTGAACATTAACACATCAGCGTAGCCAGCATTAAATGTGAAGTGACCAGTTTTCATGGTTTCATTCCATTTTTTCTCTTTTATTCACCCACAACTTTGGTAATTTTCTGTCTATTCATTTGAGTCTTCTTTTTGTCTTACTGCTGTGTTAATGTTATGATTTTGCTACTTAACATGCACATGGCTAAAAGAGAAAACAATGTGAAGCCAAGCCTTTAGGATTTAATAACCGAGAAATTAGAGACTTCCTTTGACCCCACGAGTAAAAGTTCACTTTACAATTATTCACTTAAAAACATACTCAATACCTTGGGTGGTCAAAACAGACTATGGCTCAGCTCTCTCACCATAAGCGCCTTGTAGACATCCGACAGCTCATAACAATAACATTAACTAGACTTTACATTATTGCCTCATCTTCCTCATTTTATCTTACTTTTTCTTGAGAAGAGGGAAAAGAGTGGAGGAAGGAAAAATTATAACAATTTGCATCATTAAGCCTGCTCACATACTTGAGCCAGAGGCCATGACCAACACCGCTGAATTCCCAATTAAGAGCTTAGTGACAACACACTTGAATAAAAGTATCACTGAAAAATCTACAGGCCAAAGCAAAAGGAAAGGATTGAATACCATTTGAGAGTGGGTCAAATGAACTTCCCACTTATTATCTGCACACTTCTTCCAGCCTTCAAATTTTGCATTTCCCATTCGCTTAGCGTCAATTTCTAATCTGTAAGCTGGTACATACTCGCTTGTCCAGGCACTAAAATCAGAACCACCAATCTTCTCTAATTTTGTGTAACAGGATGGATTCCACCAGTGGTGTCTAGGCTTTGTTTTCACCGGCATAAACATATGCTTCATTGAATTATAATTATCCAACAGACTCCTGGCATTTTCAACTATCTCATCTTCAAATAATTTGTATATGACCACAGAGGAATCTTTTGACACTATTCTCTCAGACTTTCGAAACAAACGAAATAAAGTACTTGAATTACCACCCCATATATTATCAGCAAACTGTCTTTTAGTGTCTTGAAGAGAAGAGATACAGACAACTTCAGCAAGAATGGAGACAAGATATTCATCTGACAAGCTGAGCGTGAAAGATGCAGGGACCTGCTTATATGAAATGCATAAAGAGAACCGAACGTATCAGTATCAGTGGCCACCTGCATGACAAACATTTTAATATGACATTACAATTTACAATAAAACGACGCATATATTAAACCAATAATCAATCAAAAGAAAACACATGTAACAAACCTCTCTTGGATTTTCAAGATCCTCCATGTTTCTAACTGCTCCAGGGGGAAAGACAATCAAGTCAACATTCCAAAGCTGTTGCAAAACTACTTGCCTAAAAGTCATTGCAAGTATATTCTTTGATCCAGTGCCAGACCAGATATCTTCAGAGAGATGCCTCCTGAGTTTAGCAGCTTTTTCTTTAACTTTTTGAGCTGGCAAGAACTGTCAAAATAATCATATTCAATATAATTATTCAACAGGAAGTTCCAATTTTAAACATCAACCTTTATTGCAACAAATTCTCCTAAAGAAAATATACAACTAGGATAAATAATCCATACACATTGTACACGTATACACAGTATATACATTTGTAAACTGTCTTGTATGCTCTGCTTCAATCCTTTAAATCTTTTAACGAACCAATATGTAAATTAGTTTGATTTATTACTCCGAAAAATCTATGAATTATTGAACGACCCGAACACCTGGAAATTCGGCTAGTCTAAATCAACTAAACCGAAATCTCATAGTATCAGGAAAATTTAAAAACACTCATTATTCTCAACAAAGTTACAAAACACAAGAAAAACAAAACTATGTAAGAGCATAAAATGAAGCGAACCAGTCGAGTAGAGACAGTGCTGCGCTCGTCGGAAGGGCCTGGAAAGACGGTTTCCACAACCATAGCCGGCATACCCGAGTCAATGTGCTCGGAGGCAGCATCGCCGCCATCAGCCGCAGCCGCCGTCAAAGCCTGCTCGAAATCCACGGCTCCAACCAAAGTTAGACGAGCCATGTCATTTTCGTATGTCCTCACACATGGGAGGACCTTGTCATCGGACTCAGCTACGGCTTGAAGCACTTCTTGCTCGGTGATTGGGATGGTCTTCGGAGGAGAACAAGAGAGGATCAGCATGGAACTTTTAGAGTGACTAAAGTTTTCTGCTGGAAAGAATGAAAAGAATTTAGGATTGGGTCGAAGGGGAAGAAGAGGAGCGAACAATGAGGGACTTCGAACTGACGCCATCAGCAGGTATTCTAAGCTCCCGAGTGATGAATTGGGGTTTCGCTTTTGCTCTGGAACGTTGCCAGCAAATTTCCCCTTCCCGTTTCAATGATAATAAGCGCGCATCAATTTTCCTACTTGTTCCTTTTGGTCGGTCGAGTTGAGCCCCAAAGCATTATGAATTTGTGATTTTTTTTTTAATATTTGTATTGCTTGGTTTTTATCTAATTAAATAATACTCTTCCGATCCTTAATATAAGACTCATTTAACTAATTTGATTGGATTGAGAAAATTAGATAAGTTATTAATTATCAGAAATATGACACGTTTTTTCTAAAATACCATAATCATCTTTCTTAATATCCCTTATTCCTCTCTTATTTGATTATGATTGAGGGAGTATTCATAAGGGTAATTTAGAAAAAATTGATAAATATGATAAATAAGTTTTATATTTAGGACCAAAACCAACTCAACAATTGGGTCCTATATTAATGACCGAAGGAGTAATTTTTTATATACTATGTGGGTCCTAATTATAAAATTCTGTTTATATAATCTACAAATAAGTATTATAATTAAGATAGTATTAATGTACTATTTACTATTGAAAATCATTTTTATGTTAAATTGGTAAATTTTAGTATGAACGATAGGTCAATGTTAATTGTGCCAACAACTCCCCCCCCCCTTCTCGCCAGCGTCTTGTCTACAACTTCTGTACAAAGAGATGTCTGAAGGTTTTATATCCTAATATTGGTTAGGTCGTATAAAAGACACTTAATTCTCTTTAATTGACATCAATGTAATGCATGCAAGCAACATTGTCCTTTAGCCAGCCATGCATCCAACATTTAACCAAATTAAATGTTAAAAATTCAATAGTTTTTGGTAAAATAAATATTATTAGTAGTTAACTACTACCTCCGGTTCTAATTATAAGAGCCAGTTGACTAATTTGAGAAAATTAAGAAAGTACGTTAAGTTAGTTATTTGTCATAAATAGGTATTGTCTTTCCTAAAATATCATTGCTAATCAAGTGTATTGACTGGAACTCTTATTATTAGAAGGGCTACTTTGAAAAAAAAAGTATAAATATGAGAGACAAAGTAGATTGGGGTATTATATTTATAACTAAAATAAAAGTCAAATAGGATCTTATATTAATAACCGGAGATAGCAAATTAATAACTTAAATAGGTTATATGCAATATGTTAAAATATTTTTTAAATAGCACTCAACGTCATAAACCAATTTACGACATCCCAAGACCTTTTTTCAATAACACTTTGAGTGTGTTTGGATGAAACCAAACCATGGTTTGGAGAATAGCTTCTGGAGAATAGATTCTGAAAAAAATAGATTTTAGGAAGAATAGATTTTGTAAAAAAGTGATTTTGAGAAGTATGAGTATTTGGATAGTTGTTATTAGAAATACTTTTTATATATACAAATTGACATAAATTAATATGATAATTATAGAAAAAATATATTTTATGATATATTTTAATTTGAAAGAATAAAATTGTTAATAATATATTTTTTATTAACATATATTAATAATATATAAGATAATATAATTAATATGTATATATATTTATAAGATATAAGATTAAATATATTTATAAAAAATATGTTTATAAAAAAACAACAAGATACATATCTTATAGGCTCTCACACTCTCCCCTTTTTTCTTCAAAAGTAAAAAATTTCTGCTTTTCTCAAAACCATGGTTTTGAACCCAAACCATGGTTTTGATTTTTTTAAATCCTAAAATTTTTTTAGCAATTTTTTGTGCAATCAATGTACTAACCTAAAATATTTTTATAGCACTCAATATTTTAAATTTAGTGTGCTCATTGTCACTAAAAAAAATATTTTAAAAAAATTACATTGAAAATTCTTTAAAATACTAAGTGATACTTAAAAATACCTTGGCTACTATATCAACACAAGCTAGTTTGAGAAATCGTGATCCATTAAATACTCGTAATAAATGGTTGAAGTTTGTCTAGGTACTAGATACTCTTGATTAATTGCTGGTCAAAAAAAGATCCTCTTGATTAATTAATGTATACACGCGCTGACACCTATATATGCCTATTTGGGCATGCGTTTCATGTAATATCGGTTTGTGCTTTTCACGCTATTCTGTTCTTCCGCATCCTGAAGCTGCGTTTTACGAACGATTCGGGTATGTCTTCCTCTCTGGTTCCTTGACTTTTTCGTGGGATCAGGGTTTGTTGATTGCTTATCCTCTTCCCTTTCCGCCGTTAGGCTGACGGGAAGATTAAAGGGGGAAATGCGCTAGGGCATAGCTTTGCTTTGTAAAAAGTGGCGCCTTTTTACCTTGATAATGACAATATATATCGAATTGAGTTTGTATTCGCTATTTTGCCCGTTAAACCTTCAACGAAACATGTATAAAAGGGAAAGAAAGATGGGAATTCGGGTTATGGAATCTTTATCCTGTTTAATGTGGTTATAATTTTTTTCCTTTATGTGACTTGAATTTCTAATTGATGCTAAAGCCTAGGATCATCACTTGGATGTAAGGATTAGTCTGTAAATATTGCCTTTTTTTTTTTTCTTTGGGCTTTATTAGAACAACTAATCTGCTAGATAAATAAGTTCCAACCTCTAAATATTTTCCGAAATTGTTGTGTTGCTTTTCATAGTTTCGGATGGTTTAATTGTTGACCTTGGTTAGATGGCCAATTCAAGAATGCGACATATCTTTTTACTAGGACTTCTGTTTAACTGAAATCAATGTGGAGCCCTTATATTTCCCCCTAGTTTTTATCTAGAGATGTTTGGCTTTGGTATTAAATGATAATTTGGGTAGTCAGTTGCAATTGCTGTTGGGTAGATGAATATAACATGTTTAAGTAGCATTGATGTGCTGCCGAACTCCAATGGATATCTACTTAGATAGATTTATCGTAAAAGCACAGAATCATTGTAATGTATGCAGAATGCAGAGAAGTTTCATTTGTTTGCGATTTGGACGTTTGTAATTTTATTCTGAAAGCAGGATTTAGGCTATGGGGAAAAGAAAGTCAAGAGCAAAGCCACCTCCCAAGAAACGAATGGATAAGCTTGATACTGTCTTCAGCTGCCCTTTCTGTAATCATGGCAGCAGTGTTGAATGCCGCATGTAAGCACATATTCCCCCTCTAAAACTATCAATTTGGGGCTGTGCTCTTTGCTTGCCACTTAATCATTTGCAAGTGCTTCTAAATACGTCCTATATTTTATATACCTCTGAAATCATATATTGATTCTGATATTCGGTTTTTTTTTTTTTTTTTTTTGGGTTCTTGTGACAGTGATATGAAGAACTTGATAGGAGAAGCTTCTTGCAGGATATGCCAAGAGAGCTTCAGCACTACCATTACGGGTACGCTATAGTAATAGGAGTTGTGTTAGGCATATGTGACATCAATTCTAGTTAAGCTGTTTATTCAAGAAAGTATGCAGTTGTGGCTTTTATATGGTCTTGTTCTCATTATTATACTTATGTCTTTTATGTTCATTGATGTTTATGAAATTTTACTGTGGGGGACTCGAGAACTTGTTGGCTGCCTCTTCTGGCTTTTGACCGGGCTTGTTTGTCTTTCCATACACGAGATGTAATAGCCTAAAGTGACATGCTTTAATACATCTCCAGTGAAGGGACACTGTTCCCAAACGACTCCATTCCAGGGAAAGCATGCTATCTATTAGGAGGCATAATCACTGAATCCATTTCACATATAGATGATGTTGCGTTGGCCTTAAATTTTATTGACGAGACCTCTTCTTCTTCTTTTTTTTGGGTGAAACTCAACTCTTTACTAGTATCGTACTTCCTACTCCACCCCATTTCATTCTTTGGCATTTGTGCATGATTTTTTTTTTTTTTTCATCTCATTCATTTTTTGTGTGCTTTTTCGTAAGTGATTTGAAACAAAGTTTGTTTATATATCTGTCCAAGTAATATTTTATTGAAGATATCTCTAATGATCAATTTTTCTTGTCCATTTGCAGCTTTATCTGAGCCAATAGACGTGTAAGTTCAATAAATAGTTAAACGTGGCGAAACTTCCTCTCCCTCTCCTCGTTCTCAAATGTAACTAAAGAAATTTTGCTGCATCTATGCAGATACAGCGAATGGATTGATGAATGTGAAAGGGTGAACAACCTGGAAGATGACGGGGCTTAGCTGCGGTCTTCAAGGTTTAGATGTTATTCTAGAATAGTGGAGGGGACATCTGTCCAAGTTTATGCTTTGACCCACCTCTAATTATGCCACTCCCTGTCTTATGTACTACTGGTGCTGATATAATCAGCTTTTGAGCAGAAGTTACTTTTAGTAATAGCATGTACAATAGTATCAAATAATCGCGTGTTTAGATGAAGTTAGCTCGATAAGAAGTTCACTGGCATGAGATGTAAAGTGCATGAATTGAGTACGTATTAGTTGCATCTCTAATTAGCTTGTGGGTATTTTTAATGCCTTTGCAATTTATATCTATTTTTTTAATTCGATTAATTGAGAAAAAAACTTACAAATAAAAGGAAAATTATTATTCAACAAGCACTGAACTATTCCACTAGCTGATGATCACAAAGTTTATTTAGGCTCTAACTACTCACACTAACAGAAAATCTACTCTGCTGGTGGATTTTAGTTTGATTGGGTGTTTGGATAGAAGTAAAATCATAGTTTCAAAAATATTTTTACAGTACATGAAGTAAATATATAGAGAGGTTTGTCTCAATTTATGGAAAAATGGGTTATCCCAAATACTTCTTAAATCTGAGCCATCAATTCTATGTTGAGGAGAAATGCCTGAATCAACTCTCCTTTTGTGATAAGTTTAAGCCGCCAACTATGTTGAGGAGAAATGCCTGAATCAACTCTCCCTTTGTGATAACTTTAAGCCGCCAACCGGACTTTAACTTATTTTATGAGTTTAGTTGAATGAGATAAATATGCAAAAAAAAATTCTGTCCTGCAAGAGTTTTTTTTTTTTTTTAAAGTTTAGTTAAATTGGATTTCAAACTCATCAGGATTAATTAAGATATACTTCTAGACTCAAATAACACTTATAAATATACTTACAAATTGTAAATCAATAAAATTTTATATTAGTAGCGAGATTTAAACCTATGATTTGTGAGTTATGAGCTCTTTACCAACTAGATTTTTTTAAAGTGATTGTAATGTTTTCATGTAATGGGACTAGCTTCCCATCCTCCACTCTAAAGTGATCATTGAACAAGAACGAGCGTTTACACACGGTTTTACGGCAAAATGATTACGATATTTAGAAGTAAAATTATCTCAAGTTGGCCCACGTTGGTTTACAAATGACAAACGAACAATGAATCATTCCCAATTTTAAGGGTAGGATCATCCAAAACAAATTAGATTGAATCCCTGCTGACCTTTAGAATTTATTCCTTACTTGAAGCCATAAAAAATTGATCAAAAGGAACTAAATAATTTATTACACGCCCCATATCATGTACCATCCTCGAGAGTCTGTCCTGCAGTTTTGGCCGTTTAAAAGCAAATAAGAGTAACTTACATTAGCACAATATCATGACAAATTTTGGTGGTGCTAGTATTCACCAAATTGCTAATCATAAATGCTATAAAGCAGTTTTCAGTTTTTCACTCTATGTGATCATGTTCCAAGGTTAGAATCCCGCGTCCAGCAGTCTCTAATGCAGCATTTCAGTGAGAATGAGCTATTCACATATCTGACCAAGGCAAAAATTGACCTTGGGTACTAGTTACTAAAAAAAGTGGAAGTAGATCCGAATAAAATGAGAGAGGAAAGACGACCCACCATAATTTTGTGCAAAACAGGATTGGAAGCCGCCTGTCAACACCGCTGAGATCAATCATGTTCCATAATAGTCGCTGATGTTCTCAACAAGATAGTTATACGGTGCAGCTAATCCATACTCAGATGTTCCGTTAAATGGAGTAACTCTGTTTGAAGCAGAATATACGCCACCCATGCCAACCTTCGCATTAAGTTTGGCCCTGCTTTTGGCAGGCCGTTGTTTTCAGGAGGAGGAAACTCGGCAGAAAGCCTTCCCATCTGCTTCTGCAGATCAGCAACTGAATCATTTGTTACCTTCACCTTGGAATTTTTCTTTCCATCTACAAGCTTCAGCTCCAACCGATACAATGCACATGCATCACACTTGTTCATCTCATATTCATAAAGGTGCCACTCAAAATGGTTCAGCGGTTGTGGGTCCATATAATAGGATCTCTTCAGACCACCGAATTCGTTCATCACTTGCTTCCTAGATTCATGCCAACCACGTCCACTATAATCCGGCAATGACCTCTGCTTCCTGTTCCCACTCTCAAATGCTCGTCGAGGCTTATCAAAGAATAGCCACTCCCTAATAGTTTCACCCTCAAGAACAGAAAGATCGAAAAGCTCTGCAGTCAAATAGGAAATGAATCATATTAGCTGGAAAAAAAATAATTATTCACTTTGAAAGCAGATGCTCCCCACCACCCAACCAAAAAAAAAAAAATAAAACAAAAAACAGCAGACTAATCAAAGATGAGATACAAACAATCGTTTATTACCCGGTGCATTCCATGGAGACTTAGCGGTTGCTGCTCCTTCACATTCTGGGATGCCAACATCTTTTCCTTGTGCCTTTGCACAAAGCGCAGCAAAAAGCAAATTATCCTTCAAACCAATTCCTCCAGGTCGTAGGACAGGAGCCATGCCTGGTGGCCCTTCATTCAACGCAAGGGCAGCATGAAAGCTGCTGCAATAGTCTTGAAACCACTCCAATCCTTGAGCAGGCCTTGGGCAGTCCCAGAGGGAACACTTTGGGCCTAAGAAAGCAGAAGGAGGAGGGCAGACACTTGGTACATAGCTAGTTACATGAGGAATGGAATCCTCCTCACAAAAAGCTGAATCGTTAAAACTAGCATAAAAGCTGCGATCAAAATCCTGATTTGGATCAAATTGATACGCTAAAGTTGCTCCTTCAAAGTTATTTGCCACACTGCAAACTCCTGATGTGGAATGTTTACGCTCATCAACCAATGGGAATTCATGTTGCTTTTGGTCCTAATATACAGTTAAACATAAAACTTATCACAATTACAGATGAGATCTAATATTGAAACCCTATCAGCACCAATACACTGAATGAAACTATACCTCATGACTATGAGGTTTCAGCATATATGTGAATTCCGAAAAGCAAATAGGAATGCTATTCCTATAAATCAAAAGGTGAAAAGAAACAAATAGCCAACACATTATTTAGAATTAGAATATATTTGTTCTTCTATCAAGGCAGATAATATCATCTGACCGCCATGCCAAAATAGCACATTTACAACTGATTCAATTGCCCCATTAACCTTGTTGGCCAAAAGAAAAAGAAGCCACCCTGTAAACCTATTAGACACTCCAACACCCTATTCTCTATATGACCAAGAAATGCTAGCTTAATATATTGAGAAAGCAATGATCTGAAGGATGACCTAGACTGGACAGTTTGACTAGAAAACCAAGAACTAGTCCACTGGCCATTCTGTGAACTTCCAAAAATTTGCCCAATGAGGAACAGCTAAACCAGTGACAAATCAGGTGATTATGTCAACTAGTCACGGTTTCCATAGTTTGCACTGCTCATAAGTGGAGCAACACTGCTTCACTGCTTCGGAGCACCAACCACCCCTTCCGTGTTTCCTTCAACTTGCAATCTCCTTACAATTGAATTTCACATCCCTGTTTGTGACTCTCTATCCTGTAATGGCCGATGTCTTGCCTCACCATTTAAGCATTAACAACCAGCTGGTCCTTTAGTCATTTATTTCTGAAGTGATGGCTGTCTTATATTTTTTTATCTAAAGACTTCCTGTGTTTCTGCTAATGCCTTTAAGCCAGCCTTAAGGCATGGTTATTATATCAGCCTTCAAGTTGTATAACTAGAATACTGTAGTGTCCAAGAAGATGGATTTCTTACACTCCTGAGGTAGAGGGCTTTTATCAATAAAACCCATACATAATTAATATTACCAAATCTAAAACAATAAAACAGAGACACGATTTAAACAGTGTAGTTGTTATATTTTTACTAACTTCCTCTTCATATCCTACTCTACTTTCAACTCTTTCCTCTTCCAAAAATCAGAAATGTCATAGAAACACAAGAAATGAGAGCGGGTGGGGAAGGACAGAACCATACAGACGGTAGATTTAATATCATTTTCAGTACTCTAAATTAGTGCAATACAGATATTTTGACAACAATGATAAATGTAAATCTCAATACACACTCTCTTAACATCTTAACATTCAGATTAAAAACCAGCGCCATCCTCCTGAACAAGACAAGTTAATCCCTAAGAAAGCATCATCAATAAAACAAGTTCACAAGAGAACTACTAAGAATACAGTTTGTTCCAAAAATAGCATATATATATAACACTGTCTACAAGTACACGGCATCATCATCCCATATGGGCAATCAGAAGTACAAGGGCCCAACAAACTCATAGTGAAGGCAAAATGTTAGGATTTGCAATATCTACAGGGGCCCATCTACTAAGAATACAGTTTGTTCCGAAAATAGCACACACACACACACACACATATATATATAACACTGTCTACAAGTACATGGCATCATCATCCTATATGGGCAATCAGAAGTCCAAGGGCCCAACAAACTCATAGTGGAGGCAGAATGCTAGGATTTGCAATGGTGTGATTGCGAAAGAAAATGTAAGAAAATCATTTTGGAGTTCATTAGAAGATAGCAACCATTGCTAAAGCATCTATATATATACACACACACACACAATCACAGCAATGGCCTCCTACAGATAACAAACAGTAAATGCTGAAATAGTCACAGCCTAAGCCCGCAAAAACACCCAACATTATTTCATATATAACAATAAATTCCAAAACATTATGAAGATCCTTACCTCTTTGAATATCACATTATACCCAGTTTGCAGGTTGTGATCATTAGGTTCAGTCTTAGGTACTGCTAATGGACTGGTAGCATCATCTTCCTCCTCACAGAGCTGCAGTAGCCGGCAGATATCTGTTGAGAATGACCCAAGGCTGCCACCCTGTGTTCACCCATAATTATCACAACTAAAGCATGCTCAGATTGAAGGCCCAACCAAAAAAAATCAAAATATCACCACAATAATTAATATTTCCATTCAATTACGCATAAATCCATCACAATAGGGAAAGCATAGGTCTAACAAGACTCGTTACAGAAGTCACAGAGTCAGCAAGTTGCAGTGAAGGTGTGCAATATGAGTTTACCTGCTGCAAAGAAGAAGCAGGGGAGGGCTCATTGAGCTCTGCTTTCCACTCACGAAGCATCTGATGAACTTGCTCTTCAAGAACGGCAGCATCAACAGTACGGCTCTCCTTCCTAGCAAACTGCAGATCCATGAACATAACCTGCAAATCATCAACGCGGTTCTTTGCCTTGTCCTTAAAG